ATATTTATTAAAATTGCTTGTTTCAGATTCATATTACCACCGCTCAGATGAGCAACTCTATTCTTGCTCGAAAGAGGATTTATTGTTACCATCAGCCGCTGTCCATGACAATGGTCCTCCAAAGCTTTTTAGTCCTCCATCACAAGCGTACTTTTCTACAATGTTTTTTAGACAGCCACCACCCCCGCCCCCTCCACCACCGCCCCCTGTATGATTCACTGTTGTATTTCACAACAAATGCAATACACATTACACACCAATAAATGTTTATAATGTTAATTGATAATAATAATGTATAGATTATTTTTTAAATCTACTCAACTAAAATTAATATATATTTTTCTTCTAAAATGTAAATTAAAATAAAAACACCAAAGTAGTGTTTTTGTGTAAATAGGTTTATTTTTTCCTTCCATTGTCTTTTTGTTAAAATTTCATTGCTTTCAATTGAAATGAAACGGTACAATTAAGTTAATTACTTTTATAATAATTATTTATAATTTTATAAAAAAAAAGTTAAAAATTATAAAAATTTTGTTACATATTAATATTTAAATGATCAGATGCTTTAAAAAATGTAATATATTTTAATTATTAGAATGCTGTTTTTACATTTTGAATATTATTAATTCAAATTATTGATAAGTGAATAAGTCTAAAGAAATTTATAATATACATTTATTTCTTTTTTATGTTTGTATATTTAGTTATTTAATGATGAATGTTATTTAAAAAAAATTATTATGATTATTATGTATAAATACAGATATTTTTTGAATAAAAATAAATAGGTAAAAATTATAAATATGATGATAGATATATATTATTACTGTAAAATAAATTGTTTAGATTGTAAAGTTTAATATTTTTGTGCAAATTTCAATATTAATAAAAAAACGTTTTGAAAAAATTATATATATGTCTACTTCCAGATACTGAGTGGAGCAATGAGTTTACTGATTTCAAAATAATATGTATTTACTTTTTATTTTTGTGTCTATGTACATCAGCCTTTGTGGGGTTAGGTTAGAAAAATGTGTATAATGTATTCTGTACTATCTAGCAAGTAGTCTTATTTATTAGTATTTAGTAGGTACACACTTCTCGAATCTGTAGAGCACACTTTAAATTTTGGATTACACACTTTGTGTCGGGGTTCACTAAAAAATAGGGCCTGATGTAGATGCCTTATGTGATTTAAATACAATATTTTTACCTTAGGATCGTCATAGCAATCTTAACATTTTCTTATTTTTATATGAAAATTATGTTAATTGTTTTTAACTACATTACCTACCATAGACCTTGTTGTTTGGGGTACATACAATGTAATTTTTTATAGTTTTTACTAAATTGAAATAATTATAAAAAAATCAATTAACTTTAATGATAAATTAAAATATGATATTATTTATTATCTTCAATCAGTCTAATCTAGGGAGCAATATTGATCATACTTCATATTATTATTTACTTATTGTAACTTAACAAGTTTAAAATAGGTATCTTGAATGTCTTTCCTGCTGCATGTAGGTAGTAGTAGCATCTGCTCAAAGTGCTGAAGAAAATTGATCCATTAGTGAGTCTGAAGTCTATTGTCCGAAGTGCTGGAGGTCGATCAAGGGTTGTACAAACCGCAAAGGTTGTCTCTCATATCCATCCAGTTCTACAGACAAATAGGATACTTAAGCTCCTCCATATCCACAACAAAAGGCACGCAACAGGGCTGACCCTCTTGCGACGTAGCTGAAAGCAACCATACCCAGTCAACACCAATGTCGTGGSTTAAGTAATACTGACCTTCAAATTACTCATCAAACAAGTACTATAAATAATCTTTATAGATTTTGCTCTTGGATAATAAGATCACATTTGAGTTTAACTGTAGTGTACTCAAAAGCTTTGGTTGAAGTACACTCAACACCTGTTAGGTACTACTATACTATACAGCAGAGTGAGTACCCTATATTATTTGTATTTACTATTTACCTATGATTCCACATTTTTCTAAAACAGATATATTAAACTTTTTAATAACCACTGTTTTCAACGAAAATTTTAGATTGACATAGAGTGGTTTAAACTGAATCCAATGTGCCGAACAAACTTTTTAAAAATATTTTTGTTGAATACATAATATTAAAAACAGCTAGAGTATTCTCCTTCAGTCTTCTGCCTTCAAAAATACAGGATTTAAAAATAAATACTCTAGCTGTTTTTAATTCTGTATTTTTGAAGGCAGAAGACTGAAGAAGCCAAGAGGGTCATGAACTTATAGTAAGCAATTTGTTGAAAGTTTATAATTTATATAGATATTAAAATAATATAAAAGTTGAGTGATAAAAACATGTAAATGAAATTTAGAAATGTTTAAAATTTACCATCCTTAATATTTAAAAATAATAGGTAAGATCTATGCAGTTATTAGAGTTATAAGGATGAAAAAATGATATTTCTGAAGTGTTGTAATAATGATGAGCATAATATTAATGAATTTATGATAAATAATCATAGTTTGAATAGGAGTGGACCTGCACAAATGCACCCAATGATCATACTAAAAATGATAGAATGTTTGTATATGAAATTTTCAGACTTAATAGTATTTTAGAAAAAAAACTAATGAAAAATGAAAAATTGATGAATGCCTTAGGATAATGAACAAGGGTTATCTTAAAAATTTAAAATATCAATTTTTGTTAGTGTTCTGTTAGAATTGATAAATATGAAATTAATAAAAATAAAAAAGTTCTAGAATTTTAAGATATGCCTTCAACAAGAAATTGAGAAAAAAAAATGGATTTTCACAGAAATGAGGTTAATTTAAGATGAAGAAACTTAGCTGATTGTTAGGATGTTAAAAACAATGGTTTKGCTCACATGTGATATAGAACATAATATTGACATATACCAAAAGAAATTTCACATGTATGACGATAAAATACAAAAATTAACTGTAAATTTTATTTATAGTTTAAGTTTGTTAATAACGAGAGGAAAGCTTAATAATAAAAATACAAATGAAAAACGAATAAAAAATATTATTTATAACTATAACTAGGTAATACTGAAAAATTTCAAAGAACAATAAATGTCTTTAACAAAATAAATGACAAACAAAAAAGTATATAGGTAATATATAAAGATGAATGTAATAGTCAATCTATTATTACAATTGAAAAAAAAACACTGGTACATTTTTTGCATACTATCAATATTTATAAATGCAGAGGTTTTTTTGTATTGTCATTTTAAGGATTTTAGGTGTATACTCAACCCTAGGAAACTTATGGTTCCAATGATGTTTATTTGAAAGATTTCCTAGCAAATGAAAAACGTAAACATTAAAGGCAGTTTAAATAGTGTCGAGCCTAAAAATAATAAAAATTGCTTTGTTTAAGATAAGAATAATTATAATTAATCTAATTTTGAATTACTGAAAGTAAATTACACTAGCTAATTTAACATATTAATCATTAACAACGGGTAAAAACATTAAAAAGAAAATTATAACAAAAAATTGTTGTCATATGTGAATAAGGAAAATAAGAGTATTTTTTCTCTGTAGAGGAGTGGGGTGTATACATTTTAAAATAAAATGTTGATTTACCCGAGTCTTGTGAGTGAAAATTTTAACATGAAAAAAAAAACTTCTTACGAATAATTGTCGAGTATAATATATTGTGTATATTATGTTTACATAAAATGGTATAAACAAGTAAAAATAATACTCTTGTACAGAGCTTGACGATGATGAACATTATTGCAAAATGCTCAATACTTAAAACAAATGATGTTATAAAACTTAATCAAATATATAAATAATAAGATTGTTACGAGTAGGTTAAATAAATAAAAAATTCACAGTAGTATTATACTTAATATCTTTCAATAATAAACGATAGTTATAAATATTAATTTWCCAAGTTAAAAGAAGATGTTTAGCTATCTTTTTTATTATCTCTAGGCAGCATAAGTTTATATAGTTATACCAGTACAATTACGTATGTACAAAAGATGCAATAGGGAAAAGTATATTCGTTATAAATTAGTTCCATGCTACATTAAATAAATATAATTATTATAAAATAATAAATATTGGAAAACTATAAATAATAACTAATAATAATAATAATAATAATAAAAATAATTTGTTATTCCTAAATATTATGTACAAAGTGTTCATTTGGAAAACACTTCAAAATATATGAACAGAAGAAAGGCCCAACAAAAAGATGGCACATTTTTGAGTTGGCTAAGTTCTACATTGTTTGTCTTTAAATTGAAGACTACACAATCTTTATTATCTTCAATTTATTCTTCTTTATATTGGTTTCATAATTTAATGAACCATTATAATTTCACTTAATACTGCCTAATATTTATACTTAACAAAAATTAATTTCAACAAATAATAGTATAATTTAATTTAAATTGATTTGCAATTATCAGTACATTTTAATTAATAATATAAAGCAGACCAGACCAAACTGGTTATTTTTTTTTAAATCAATTGGCATTTTATGATCTTAATGTTAGTCTTGTTCTCTATATGTGAGAATCTATAAAAAATTAAAAACGCAGCCTGCCTCTGAGGTTGTCCATAAAACCAATATGACAATGATATGATTCAAAAGTCACCAGTTTGGTATAGATCCAGCCAATTAATATTAACATTTCATATATATTTAACATTAAAAGGGGATTACGGAAGACAAATAGGTATAGTGCAACCAAGTTAAGATGACCAATAGGTTTTGCATGTTCAACTTCTGGTCATGTTTGTTTCAGTCAAATCCAACAATGTGAAGCATTTGATGATAGACCATTTTTCGACTGTTGGGTCGGCGAGTTAAAAATAAGCTCCTTTTTTTCTGAATAACTTGTCATCTTAACTTAGTTGCACTATATGTGACAATAATAATCTGACTAATTCAAAATATAAGAAAATAAAACTTTTTTGTACAATTTCTTAAGGAAAGTAATGGCAGATTCAAATAAATTTTTTGTGTTTTAAAAGGTTGATTATTTATAATGAAACTCTATTTATCATTTATATATATAAATGTATTTTTGACTAGAAGTCATATAGCTGCCTTTGGAATTGTTAAATTGTCTTACGGGGAAGGAGGTGATAAAACAATATTATTATTATAACGTATACTATGTTCATAGGCTCGAGTAACCAATTTACGAATGTACTCATGCATAAAATTCGCGATGTGAAGGCTTTAGGTATGGATTTGTTGCTGGTGAACGTTTAGTTTCTTCTAACGGATAAGATCCCTCATCCTTTTTACGCATCCTGTATACAATGAACATAACCACTAGAATCGCGCATAACAATCCCACGACGGCACCTCCAATAACAGCTGAAAAATACATAAATATTGTTAGATGATTACAGTTAAGAGATGTTTTATAATTATTATCACAGCAAGTGCTGTGATTTTTTTTTATTATTACCTGCAAGTATGCCAGGTTGTGCGAAAAATGAAGATGTTCGCTCAGGGTGGCTGTTTGGACTTATATAGACTCCATTACCGCTAGAATGTTCATCAATAGCATTGGAAGGAGGTGGTGGAAGAGTAGACGTAGATGTAGTCTGAGGTACTTCAGGTACATTAGGTACACTAGGTGCCAGATTGACATCATCAATGTTTTGTTTAGGCTAAAATAAAAGCATAAATATGAATCGAGTATTAAAGTTTTTTTAATTGTTTTAGTTCTATAAACTTTTCATAGATGTTTAAATATAACATAATTAGTTCACAAAACCAATAATTAGTGTTTAAATCTATTTTTGTCACAAATAGGAAAAATAATTATATATTTTTGTGTTTATGAAGTATTAATTTGATAAAATATAAAATATGTAAAGCAGATAAGATGGAAAAGAATATTGAATCATACAGACTATAAGGTCCATAATCACTATCTATAAGTCATATAATTTGTATGTTAATAAACACATATTTTTATATCTACTTAAGGTATTATTAAAGCATGTTAATATGCTATGTTAAACAATAATAATAATAACATTTTTATTATTATCAAAAGTAAAAGTAATATCCTAACTACATATGGAATTAAATGAGTCATCAACCCCCCAGTCTATTAAAAAAATATATATGAAAATAAATTATATTTATACACAGTGAATACAGTTTTTTGTTATGACTAATGACTGTACAAATATGATACATATTATATAAAAGGTTTTCAATAGTCTGTCGTAATGTATATCTACTTCTAGTTTATTTATTAGGAACCTATCATGTTTAAAAAAGGATTTTAAACATTTTCAAAGGTACTATCAATGAAAAATAGTCAAATTGTTTTGATACACCACTTGGAGGGAGTACAATCAATAAATTGCAGCGTCAGTTGAAATTTAGTAAAATTTGCCAACAACTATACTATTTTGCTGCCCTCATAAAAAAGAGAAAATATTTCAGATTAGCGATGCAAAATTGGCATAAATATGCAATTCATCAGGTGAATCTAACATGCAACACATTATTAAAATTAAAAGTTCCCAATAAGAAATGGATTTGAAGAGGTAAGCATTGTAAAATAAAAAAAAATAAACCTACATATGTGGTAATCAAACTTCCCGGAAATTCATTTCAACAATAAATGCTACATACAAAACTAAGTTATAACAATAACAAAAATAATTTACTTTCATAGAACATAACATTGAAAAATTTGATGTTAAATTAAACTACTAAATCATTAATGCCTAAATATTTAATGAATCATTTTTAAACAAATTGCATCTACTTCCAGTTAAAACTGATTGATTCTAACTTGATTTCAATGATTGTGAAATAATATAATAATTTACTTATACTGAATGATTTGAACATTAAGCTTTTTTTAAAAAAAATGTATGTGCTATTATAGTATGTAGATGAATAATAGCTTAACACTTTATAATATACATTAGTATCCATCAGGAAAATGCCATCTAGATAACAAACTTGTACGCTATATCTTAATCAAACAATAGTCTACCAACAAAAAAATATATTACCTAGCTAACTTAAATGTGAGTATATGAAGTTTATGTATTACATTATCTAAATGTTTCTTTGCATTGAACACATTATATAAAAAGGATTAAGTTATCATTTCAATAGTATTTTTGTTAGATTAGTATATAATGTGTATAGTGGATACATAAATGTTATGAAATAGAAAAAGTTTATGCATTTTAATATTAAATTATTGAAATAAATCAAATGATAATTTTCCATTAATTATTAATTACTAGTTAGTTAGTGTATTTTAAAATTTAATAAATTAATAATTATTTAATTTAAGTAACAACTGTAGTATTATAAATTATAGAAATAAATAAAATAAAATTACAAAAACCAAAAAAATTAATGAAAACGAGATTCAATCTGGTACGTAAGTTAACTTATGATAGGAGTAAAATGGTTTTTTGATTAGTTTATAAATAATTCATAGCAGAGGGCATTAGGCAAGTTTATCATAATAAAAAATTATTTCAAAAACACATATAAATATTAACACCACAAATAAGTAATATTTTAGATTATCAGTTAATTTGGGTACTAAAATATATTTTTTATTTTATTGTTAATTAAAATACAATTTTTTTTTTTTTTTAAATATGACTTTATTGTGAAATATTACGATTTATACAGGGATGTACAATAAGTAATAATTATGGTGACAATTTACACTAATATTTATAAGTTACATACATTTTTCACTATTTAACAGTCCCTTCTTATCAAACCCCATAATTGATCCATTTAATACTAATTGTGATTATATTGAATAGATTTTATTTCAACCAAGCATGATTAATTAGTTTTAAGATAAGAATTAACCTACTTTTTTTGTATATCGATATATATATAAATAACTTAACTATTATGATATGATAAATGCATAAGCAGCAATTTAAAATTAATTTAATATTAGTTAATAACACGTGGAAGAATAAATTACACTGACGTGGGACATTTTCTATCCAACAAGCAAAACAACACAACCTTTTCTTTTGTGAGCGGAAACTAACTTTAATAAAATTTACTTCTTGTATGTTACTCGAGTAGTAAAGGTACATCAGATAGTCTATTGAATATTGAAGAACAATGAGGGCAGAAGAAAAATAAAATAGAAATGTATACAGACGTACCTGTTCAGGGAAATTAGATTCTTCATCGAGACTCTTGACTGTTGTAGTTGTAGTTGATGTAGAAGTTACAGGAGTAAACGCCTTTTGTGGTTTTTCTGTATCAAAATCTTCATTGTCATCTTCATCTTCATCATCACCATCATCCATATCGTCATCATCCTCCTCAGAATCAACTCCTGGTTTACCTTTGCTTTTACCACCAACGTGTGCATCCTCATCATCAGGTCCATAGCCGGAGCCACTTGATTCCATGTCTTCAGCCCCTGTTCCTTTTGATGGGGGGCTCATACCACTACCTTCTTCATCAAGCATCATATCATCAGCATCTAATTTATCAGTGTCACCATCATCTGCATTTTCAGATTCATCATCAATAAATAATTCATCCTTATATGGTTTTGAAGGCTTAGTAGATGATACATTTTTATCAGATTGTGCAAGCACCTATAAAAATAACAACAAAGGTTTGTTTAGTACTTATTTATTAGTCATCACATATTTTGAAAATAAATATTATAGATGGGGCATGCCTTATGACCCCGACACTAGTCAAAATTGATTGTTTGTGATTTATCTCAACATCAAACGACTTTAATCATTTTATATTACTATTGCTAACCACCAAGGTTAAAAATGGTTAATATATAAATGTACTTATAGCAAAATCAAAATTTATCATAATTGTTATCTTAATGGCAGTTTATAGGTTTTAATAGCATTTTATATGAACATAATTAGATGAAAAAACTTTCAGCACGAGTCTATTTTCAGTGCCTTTTTTATTTTTTAAATAAGAACTTAACTTTAATTTATTATTTAATAGGTACTTGATGAATTAAATTAACTTTTATTTTGTACTATTCAAAACAATATAAGAGATATTCAATTTTTATAGGGTAAACTAAAAATATATTTTAAAGTTGATAATAAACCGTAAAAAATATAGGAACATATGTGAATTTACATTTCACAATTATTATTTGTGCCATTACATACATTGCATATTATAGGCAATGATAGGTATATAATAGTTATATCACTTATACCAAACGATAAAAATAGAAGTCTTTGGGTGAGAAGATAAATTTGAGCTATTGAATACTTAATGATTCAGATCGAAAGGATAATAGCTTCAGCACAAAAGAGAAATAAAATCCCTATTAAATGTTTAGAAATTCAACAAAAATCAAATAAGCAAAATGATTATCAACTTGTAAATTATTTTAACATTAAAACAAATTTTAAGATAGGTGAGCAAAGAGCGATTTGTTTAAAAATAACTTTTTCTGAAAGTTTGGAATATAGAATATTGTATCTCTACTTAATGGCACAATTTTTGGCTATGTAATGAACGAGGTAATGAATGTGTATATTAAACAACTAATATTTATTTAAAAAATATATTTTATATTATTAAATAGAAAGAAAGCTTTGTATTTAATATAATACAGACCTCATAAATGCATAAATGGAAATATACATTAATTTTGATACCTATAAATTATAATAGATACAATATAGGTACATAAAGATAATTAAATATTCATTACCTGTAGTAAATGTAAAATTATCTACACTCTTGATCAACAAAAGTAAATACAATGATAGGTTATTGTTTTTAAAAAGTATAATTTGTTTTTAAGCTATTTTTAAACTAGCCATGTAATCATGCATTGATTAATTAAAGATGTTATTACTTATTTTCAACAACTATTATAGGTGTCAGTAGTATCAGTATCAGTCAATTATCAAGAAATAAACAGGAATTTGAGATCCAATCAGTTATGTAATTAATGGTCAACAATTAATTATTTTAAACAAATAATAACATTGATAACAAAGAATGTACAAAAAGTTACTGTTAGATGTAGGTATGCACCTATCAAGAATTCAAGACAGCTTTAGTTTCATGAATACATAGGTATTACCTCGCACATTACATTAGATAATTTAACCGATTAAGCCTTAGAGACACACAAGTCTCTTTGTTACTGCATACCTACTTAACCATAATAATAAATTACAACACCAATCATCAGCAAAGCATGTTTGATAACTTTATCGAGTTTCATTTTTTAAATGAAAAAAGGTCAAGCAGTTTGTTATTAAATAATGAAAATAATGAGAAGCATAGTAGGTAGATCAACATTAATTGAAAATTATTTATGAACTAATATTGAGTATGTCTGCTGTAGCGAATGAGTGGGCATTTAATAAACCAGACATCAATTACTTGCTCGATTCAAGTTCAATCATTGGCCATTATCATTAACAATAAGAAAAACGCCAAATACAGTTCTAAATTGTACCTTTCCATACTGTAACCCAACTACTTKATTTTAAAGGATCCGACGATTATGTAGTATGAACAACAAAAGCGGTCGCACCAGATATGTATTATCTTATACCTACAGATTAGGATTGTCAAGATTCGACGATAAACTGTTACAGTTAAGTAGAGATTAATAGTCAAGGGCTGTACATAGGAGAGATGATGTGACCCCACAAGAGGAAACAGGGACGACGATAGCCCGATTTCGAAACTACCCAGTCGATGCACGAATGCTGCCACCGTCTACTGGCACTATCCACGCACGGGCAGAGTGTCGTAATTCTACTTACGTTGTGCACAAGAAAAACGCAGACGACCGCCAGGCAAACGATTTTCGGTCCCATGGCGGCGGCTAAATCGACGATAATCAGTGGCGACGGCTCTGTGCTAGACTGCAGCGACGGCTGGCGTATGTGATCGAGAACGATTCCCCTACGAAACGATAGCTACAGTAACGACAGAGATGGAGACGAAGCAGCGGCGTTGTTGGTGCGCGCGGATTGCGTTGATATTGTCATGGACGCGACTGTTGTTTGACCGCACCGTATATGCACTGCACTGTGCGCGCGTACGGGGTGGTGTCGTGCTGCCGATACGCGGGTGCATGCAACGACGACGTCGAATGATAAAAACAATGGAGCGCGGGTGTACCGGACGCAACGWACGTACGAAACTWCGAACGAACGAACAAACAAACAAACAAACGAATTCGATGACGGACGACGGCGGCGGTGATGGTTCGCACAAGTATTTTGACGTTCAACGGAATCGGAATGTCAATCTTAATCAATGAACAGGGAGAGGTGGATTGTGTGTGTGGTGTTTTTTCTTTTCTCTCTCTCTTATTTTTATACTCTATTCCCCGCCCACTCCCACCCACCACTCATTGCGAGACGTATAATGCACACGCTGCACGCGCGCGCACACGTCGCTCTCTCTCCGTCGCACACCCACACGCACCCACTCGAGAGTACGGTCGCTCACTCTATCCGACGCCGGGACTCCACGGTGCGGCTCAACCGACAAGCAGCAAAGAGCAAAGGCAGCAGCTGCGGTCGGCACCACCAGAATGCCGCGACGACGATTTTTTTTCCAGCGCTCGCCGCTTACCGCTTAGTAAGCAGTTGTACTGTACACACTAGGCACCAGCGTTCGGGTTGTTCCGAGTACCGGTGAACGGCAGCTGCTGCGCCAGAGAGTGATYGTAGTCGTATTCTCGTAGATAAAAGAATACCATCGTCGCCAGTGGTTGGAAAACGGGGGTCGCCGCCGCCGCTACCACCACACCCGCGGTACATATTGAGTATAGACTGTGATGGTATGTCCGTCTTTACTCGTTGCGAACCCCTGCAGGTGTTCGGTGAAACTACATACGTGATAATATTAAACACGACGACAAAGCGCATATAAATGTATTAATAACAATAATATTAGAATATATTATAATATTTTATAAGTTATAACATACACAATATTGTGTGCGGGTAAACACGTGCGACCTTTTTCTCATCCCCCCACATCTCTTGTGCGCATGCAGCACAACACACAAACTGCATCGTTTATATCGTTTACAATGTTCGGTTTGTTGCGCAATGTCACACATTATTTCATATTATAATATTGTCAATTAATATTTTTGAGGCCAAATAATTTTATACGCCAAGCGATTCRACATGTACAATATTCACTGCATAATATATTATATGGTGTTCCGGACTTTTTAATATTTAATCATAAAGAACACGTATAAAACCTGATCTCTACTTATATTTTAGACGTTTTGACCATATTATGCTGTTTTTTAAATAATATTATACCCTGTCCAGTGCCCACRCGAGTTCAAACATAACAATATTATGTATAGTAAAATTTGAAATTTTTCTAATATATTTAAATGGTATTTGAGATAATTGTCTATATTACATAGGTAATTCAGAAATAAACTTATGAAGTGATGACCATATTAATAAAATGGTTTTATAACAATCGCTCATTGCCTATAGATATATTTTTGTAGATAATGTGTCATTGTGGTCGTGTATTGATACAATGGTACTTACTAGTTTCTGGAACCAACTCAAGTTGACAGATTGGAATACAATACATCATATTATTGTCTATAGTTCAATCTGAATTGCAGAAAATGCAAGGTTGAAAAGACTGAAGGAAGGTCGTTGCAAACGGTTAAATAGCATGTTATTATTATTATAGTTGATTCACAAAAGTTAGAGAATTCTCAATATTATATAACCTTTATATGGTATTGTTAAATATTTAAGCTATTTAATAATAAGTACGTATTCTGACGCAGTGGCGTACCTGTGAAACATTTTTTTTTTTTTTGGGGGGGGGATAAATTAATTGCACAATTTTTTATGTTTATAAATAATAATATAATCTGAAACAAAATATAAATCATATAACTAAATCTAAATTTCTTTTTTTATTACCAGCAAATAAATCAATAACTTCGTCAACTTCAACTGTTCTGTGTCTATGAATATTAAGCAAAGCTAACCCAACCAACCGTTCTTCGCCCATGTTTGACCTTATTACCTTAACCAAGTTTTTAATCTAAGTTTAAAAGTACAAAGCAATATAAATTAAAATATAATATAATCATGCATGATGCAAAAGCATATAATATAAAATATAGATAACTATCTAACCTTCTTAATGTTTAAAAAAATTTTGATATCAAACACGATTAAAATCAGTGAAAATTAAAAATATTTATTATTTACATTATTTAAGCTGGACAATGTATTTGCATTATGACATTAAAAAACTTCTCGGGGAGGGGGGGAAATGCCCCTGTTGCCATCCCCCCACAGGTACGCCACTGTTCTGACGTGTTTTGTAACTTTGTAAGTCACAATCACAAACATGGCACACGGCAACGGGTATGCAGACGTCCTTGACGTACCTRCTCGGATCCCTTACRGTACAACTACTAGTTGTAAGTACAACTTACTACGAAATTATGTTCTAGGCTTCTAGCCGTGGTTAAGTCTAATAACACTTATATAAGTTGTTATATCTAACCAGTATGATGGTATGCCAGTTATCTAGACTCTACGTAGACTCTAGACTATTCGGTTTAGAGATGAACGGACGTTTATGTCATAATTATTTGTATACTGCAATATTACTAATTAGCATGATTGTAATTTTTATTTAAATAAAAACAGTGCATTTTAAATTACTCTCCTTGACAAAGGAACAATGAATTAAATTAATTTCAAACTTGAAATAATTTTCTTCTATTAGAATTTTACTCGAAGGGTTAATCTAAGGGTAAATCTGATATTATCAAAAAATCTTGTTATTAATGTTCACCCGAAACCAAATGGAAAATGTACCATATTAATATTTACTACAGGGGATGGAATAAGTCAATAGAAACATATTCGTTAACTAATATTTTTGTCGGAGACTTAACGTCCTAGATTCTGATTTTGAGTTTAAGACTAGCAAGTCTGAGCACCAAAAGCTACCAAAGTCTGAGTACAGCAATTTGTAATGTGTATTGTAAAGTTTACCAAATAGTTTGTGGGTGTTGCCGTGTTGGGATCTATCCTAATTTAATGGCCTCAAATCTAGTATAGATTGTGCGTCCTTTAGCCTTTATTAGGCATCATAATATTATGGTACAGTGCACTGGCACGTACCTATCTCGGTTGTACTAAACGGGGTAATTCGTCGTAAATCGTAATACAAGTCACGTGCCTCGTGCCTGTAGCCTGTGTATAACTCGCATAAGCATTGTTTTTATAATATTATAAAATCAATATGGTATAAGTAAATTGTAAATTGTTATATTTAATTGTAAGGACAGATCGTAAAATTAATCTATTATGCAAGTCGCAGAACAGTGGACGTGGCTGTCATCCGTCTATTAATATAATGATTTATGACAAATTGCTTTATTAAAAATGTTTAATACTTTTACACAGTAAACACGCTACGTTACGTGTTTTACAATAAAATCCTTTTGTACAAAACATACAATAAATTGCTGAATCGCGTGTTTAAAATATTTTCTCGGCGAGTAGTTATACCGGCGAATAAGGTTCACAAACATTATACAGATACCACGATATTTTGGGTCTAGTTGTCGAAATTGCACTTTTKGTTTTGGTATACATCAGACATACAGTTAAGTATCATATTATCATATAAGAGATAAGACTATAGTTTTATAACAAAATCAATAAAATAAAACAAAATATAATACGTATGCATATCAAGCAGAATAATATTATGTGGCGAAGGGTGAAGCGCAGATTACACCCGGACGGTGCAGATATATAATAATATTATTATAATGGTATACGCATGTCGCACTTATACAAATTTTAATATACGCCCTTGCGACCTTGTACAGTTGTACCTCGTCGGATTCGTATAATATTATTGACACGAATATGAATATGACTACGCCGCGGTGACCCTGTGTTCTTAAAATAGGTACCCACCCGGAAAACGGGTTTCCGATTTCTCAAACACGTGTGTCGACCGTCGACCATATAATCACATACGTGCCGCGTCGACCGTCGTCCGCGGTCCGCCGTGAACGATCACACAAGTGATAATATTTATTATTTATTAATATTGCTATACTATTCGTGGTTCGCCATGCACATATTATTACAAAATAGATCATTTTGATCCATTTTGTCGTGTTTGCACGGTTGCGCAACACGTCATCGCGTACGAACGTCGAATGTATTGGTACGACCTAACAACGGCTAATATTATGTACCTATCGCTTAAATAGTCTTACCATATAAGTGGTGATAATCAGTGGGCCGCTGCCCACTTCCCACAACTATATCGTCTCCAAACTGTGGTCCCAGGTTGTCACTTTTTTGATGAATGCATCCTGATATCTGAATGCTATACACAATAAAACAATATTTGTGGTCTCCGGTCGGTTAATAGAATTCTCAAGTTCTAGAATCCACAAAATCCTTGATTTCAATTCTTATCCAAATAAATTGAACACTTTWAACTTTTTAGCTACAAAATAATTTGGAAATATTTAAATTTCAATTGTGCCAAAAAAACAAAATCAATTTTTTCAAAATCTAGTTTTGTGTAAAAATCTCAATCTGTTTGTTTTACTAGACGCTTTTGAAAACAACTGAGAAATGTGTGCTGCTTATTTTTGACACCCCCCCCCTCCCCCAAAGTACCAACTTGATTAATTAACTATCAGAAAAGAAGCTGAAGAAGAAAATTGAAGAATTTTCAATGCACCAAAACGTGATGATAGCCACCAATTAAAAAATTAAAAACACTGCAAAATCAATATGTTCATCGCTCGGCTCAGGATCTAAATGGGTACCAAAATATAAGGTTACCAAATAATTATTTTTAAATTGCGTGATATGGAATTTTGGAGTTTATTGCAGTGTTATATTAAAATATGTCTGGAAGCCGGGTATTTATAACACCCTTGCAATATATGTACATTTCCCTGAATAGTTTTTATATACAGTCGATTCCGGTTTATTGGGACACATTGGTTGCATGTTATTTTGTCCCAATAAAGCGGTTGTCCCAATAATCYGAAATGAAAAAAAAAAACATATAAATTTATTGAAAAACTGATTTTTTATGTTTTTATTATTACAAGTACAAAAAGAAAAACATAGTACATATTATGTATAACCTAAATATTTATAAAAGTACACACATATATATATATATTTTATTATTTTATCTTATTTAAAAAAATTAAGAATATTACTTTGTTTTTTACATTTTAATGTTTGTTGACGAATGTAGTCCGAACAAGTATCCAAAGCACTTATCGGTA